CTCCATGTATGGAGGGCACCAAGCGGATCGAAATTACCTACATACTGCGCCATTTTTCAACCAATGGTAAAATTATCATTCTTGTAACTCTTCCAAAGTGCCAGTATCTGCACCTTCTGTTAAAAGCTTTGTTGGTTCTTCCTCTCTTTTCAGCTTACTACATCATGAAAATCTTGAAATTACAGGGAAATGATATGTTATCGTTGTCGCCATCACATACGAGATAACATAAAGCTTCACTGCAGTGGTTTTCCAAGTGATCAAGGTGACGTAAGCCGTAGATGGATAATTGGCTTTTCGTCGACGCTTGAGATACTGGCAAGCCGTAACACTCACTATAGTTGTTGGCGTTATTGGTTTGAAGTGGAGATAGCGATCCAGTCAGATGAATTACAAGTAAATCATTTGATACATCTTACCTTTCTTTGAACTCAATCAAAGTCATGTTAACCCCTATTACTTGGTCTTAAGAAGTTCTCTATTAAAGCATTTTCCGTTTTTCTTACTAGATAAGCCCTGGGGCGTTTTAACTTAACTGAATTATTATTGTACACAACCAAATTATTGTGATATCTCCTTCCGAAATCCATAATTTTCCAAGTCCGATAAATCATTTTCGGTCTCTTCTTTATCAGGAATGTCACATTTTTCACTTTTAACTTGCTTCTTGCTTTTTCGAGGAACACATGTGGGAAACCGAGGCCGCAATCTCCTCTCTTCCAGGATCTTCATAATGGAGTCTAGTACACTTGAGACGATGCACAAGCCAATCAAAATAAAAGTGTAAAAAGCTACGCCAGTGAAAAACACAGAAGGCGTGTGATATGATTTATCTTTAGAAGAATTTTTAATCTCTAAAGGAGTGGCTATTTCTTGTCTGATAATTGGTAAGTAGTCACCGAAGCCAATCGTAGTAAAGGTTACAAACCAGAAATAAACTCCTTCGACGAATGTCAAACCATTCCAGGACATACATATCAGGGTGTATGACAGAAGTATTATTGTCATTATAGAAAACAGAATTATGGCACTCTTTGTTCTGACGTGTTTTGGTTCCTCTCTTTTAAGTATTTTCTTCTCCACCTTCGTGACAATCGTTTCAACATTGCTGGAAATGAGTTCCCCAAAAGATTTTAACATGAGCAAAGTTATCGGAATTCCGATAAAACAGACAAAGATACACAACAACTGACCAGAGGGTGTTTGAGGGGTGATGAATCCGTATCCTGAAGAAAAAATCAGAAGGGAGTTTTGACATCAATACTTCAAACTAAAAAGATGAAAAACGAAACAGCTGCTTATCTGTTGACGCATTTGTTCGATAAATGCGTATTTCTCTTTAACAGCTCTATGTACTGAGCTAATAAAATGTAGTTCATTGACCTTACCAATTGTAGTCAACGCTTGAAAAACGAAGTCAAATGAAGCCAAGTAGGTCCATTGCGGTTTAGGCTCACTCAATGCTTCGTGTGCTTGCTTGGTAAAGTTATTAAACTCCTCCGTAGTAACGTTGTATTTGGACTTCATGAAAGTGTACAAAGAGACTAACAACTTATACTTTTCTTCAGCATCATTTTTGTGTGTGTACTCCACTTCACAGAATAGCCAAGCACTAAATAAGATCCACAGTGTGAAGCCAGCAGCTCGAAGTAGCACTAATTTTGTCAACGAACCCATCCACAAGAAAATCACCCGTTGCTAGCTTCTTTGATGTTTTGGATTCGACCTCAGAGAAGGATAAAAATTGCTCTGAAAAATTTTGAGAGTATGGAAAGTAGTGTGAAATATTCAGTGGTGGTGTAACAGTAGTGCTGGAAACTCGACGTACTCTGTATCAGAGAAGCTGCTGCCCTCGCCTTAACAGCAGGATGTTTGTAGAACGTGCTTAGTAACACGACGGTGAATAAAATATTTCGCTTTCAATTCGTTTAATTCAAAACTGCTCTAACTAGTCTTTGAAAAAGATCAATTGTTTGGTTGTCTCTTATCTTCGCTCGAATTAATAATTTATCACCTTGAACCTGACGGAACATTACAGGGCCTTTGCATTTCACTGCTACACCCACGACATAGCATTTTATTGTTGGCTATCACATTATTGTATGCGTCACATTATATGCTGACACAAAAAGAGAAAATCGATAATTTTGAGCTTTGAATTCTACAACTTTAAGAAGTGTCAAATTGTTATATTTATTTACATCTGCATTCATCATTGAACTTGCAAGCTGGCAGGTGTCTCGATCGGTTTGGTTAAGTTACGGTCTATAAAAATGATCCTGAAGTTCGTTCTAAGGATTCCACAATAAACACAAAAAGACTGAGAAAAAAAAAGTCAAACAGGCATAAACAAATACCTTATGATGGCTGCAGAATGGACGGATGATTTGCAGTTAAACACAAACGGGGCTTCCTGGTAGGCGCGAAGGGATGCTGCTTCTATATGACTGCCATCTTCATAAACAATTTCAGACTCGGAGTGCAATAACTGAAAGGCAATGAGATGCTTTTCTAACAAAACTGGCAGTCCTTAAAAGAGGTTTCGCAAGCGACACCAAACGAATCAAAACTCGTTAGAACAGCATGTCCACCGATAACCATAGAGGCATGTGCCGTCATTCTATGCAAATTCACCAAATGATAAGCATCGCTGCAGGGTCGTCTGTGTTTCAAAACCGAAAAACCGCCATCGACCTACTGCTTATCTTTGGGCTCTTTCCTGTGAGCTACACAGCATATTTGTTGTATCTTTTCCCTGATGCAAATAATATTTAAAAATAAAAGCTCCTCGGACGACTTGTAAAAAGATGACTAATTAATCAATCCTAGCTCAAAGTAAAGCCTGTAGAATGTACTCGACTGTGGCTCTGCAGGGGGTACATAGATCTCTTGGACTGAAAGCTGTTAATTTGGCCCGGCGTTTTACAGTGCTAATGAAATCAGTCTGTTGAGCATACAGAGACAGGAAGTTCTTTCTGGTTGAACATTTTAGTAGAAAAATTCAATTGTCATTTGACGCCAACACAGGGGAATGTAAAAAATGTCTAAAAACGAACTAAGACAGAAATACTTCGATTTTCCATCTATATTAAACGACGAATGGTGTTAACTCAATAAAGTAATTGCCGTCTCCTTGAAAAAGAAAAATTTTGAAGTGGTATTATCCATCTTAAATGTTAAAGAACTTTCTTCTCGTTCACAGTTTATGTAAGGCTAGAATATCGCAGTTATTTCAATAAGATTTCCAAAGTAAACATACTTTATTAGAAAGATCTCAGGATTTGCAAATAGAATAGAGCTCTTCTGGTATTGTTAAATTTACGTTTTCCGACTGCTCTAGGATTATTTCCTCTGCTTGTCAGTTTGTGTTACCATGTAACCACCGTGCTGGCAATAATTATTTGTAGGAACGCCTCCCGGTTAGCTCAAAGGATAGAGCGCTGGACTGTTGTGCGGGAGGTCGAGGGTTCAAGCCCCGGTCGGACCAACACTCAAGGTCTTAAAATAATTGAGAAGAATATGCTACCTTTCTATAACATCAAGAAATGGTTAGATTTTCTAGTCTTCATGGATAGGGACGAATAAATGGAGGTCCCGTCTCCTACAGGGTTAGGGGTAGGAGACGTTAATTTCCCATGCACGAGATTACTGTGTGATGGATATCCTCCCCTGGGGTGGGATGGGTGGGATTCATTGGGTGGACTACTCGCATGGTTCGCATATGTTCCGTTCTAGTCCTACCCTACTGCGGTAATGCAGTGAAAATGGTTAGAACAATTAGAACAATACTGAAAACCGCTACATTTAGTGGGCACCCTGCCCGGACTCTGGGCGTTGAAAAGTTGCTGAGAGCTCACGGAAACCTTAATCCAAGGAAATACTAATATCACGAAAAATCTAAAATACTCGTTGATCACTGTCGAAAAAAACAAACAAACAAACAAACAAAAAATACAAAACAAAAAGAAAAAACAACAACAACAACACTTATCGATCAGGATGGGTAAATGTTTAATCAGCTGATTCTACAGTTGTACAAATTGACGTTTACGATCGTTACCTTGAAATTAAATTTAATTACACTTTTAGTCTAAGGGTTCCTTGAAGGATGACAAATTGCTTGACTGAAGTAGTTTTTTCGCCTTTTTACGTAAAGACGTAATACCAGTGTATTCTTTTAGCAATAATGATTTAGCTCTTTCAATCAAAGCCTCCAGACCAGGGAAGAAACAAGAAAAGAGTGCATTTATAATCAACTTTTAAGGGGCGTTAAAGCCTTAAGTTATTTAAATGACTCTCCGTGTTTCCACCGTTCATGGTTGTTTGTTTCATGGTTGTCTCTAAGAGGCAGAGGCAAGACAGCTATTAGTTTTTGAAATGCAAATTTTTAACATTCACTCCGTCAATTCTTTACCGAAATTTTAGTAAAAAACTTATTTGAGGCCAGCTTGCAAAGAGCGGTGAGAAAAAACTGAGCAAACCATCCATATCCCTTAAACGAACCACTGATTGAACCTTACTGAGAAAACGTCTAGGTTCACCGCAATTCTTACTTTTAAAATGAGCTAGATGAGAGAGCGAGGTTTTTTCCCCTTCTTTTTTTCATATCATCACCGCCTAGTCTGAAGACTCGCAGAAACCATTGATGCAAAATCCTCTTTTTCAATTCGTCTGGATTACCTAACACCTTCTTTTTGTAACAACTGAACGAGATACTTTACGAAAAACGTTGTAAAGTGGAAGGGGCCTCTACAACATTCTACAGTTCTACAAGTCCTAACTATTACCCGGCCGCGCTAAGATTTCCCAAAGCTGCCTACATCTTTGTCTGTGTTTTCAGCGTGATCACTGCACTTGCATCAATATTGAGAAACATTGTCATTCTTTTGGCTCTTCGCACATGTCAGTCAGTGCATTCTGCATCGAAAGCCTTATTAAGTAGTTTAGCTCTGACGGGTCTTTTCGTTGGAGTGGTTGATCTTCCACTTTTTGTAACTAGAAACATAATTATTATTCTACAAATACCTCAACATTATTGTGATGTGGCCATTACCTACAAGAGGATATCGACATTTGTTGGTGCTGTTTCGCTGGAGAACGTCGTTACCATTGCCGTTGATCGATATCTCGCTCTTCGTCTCCACCTAAGATACCGACAAGTCGTCAAACTTGGACGGGTTCTTTTTATTTTGGTTTTAGAATGGGTAACTGCTGCAATTTTTTACGGTTCCTGGTTTCTTAATGGACCGATTAGTTTACTTTCTGGGGTATTTGCTCTGTTCAGTTATAACCTTTTCGTTGTAGCTCTCTGCTACGTAAGCATGTACCGGAGTATTCGCCGACATGTTGCACAAGTGCATAATCAGACAAACTCAACGAGGCCAGAGAGTGATTTCATTGTGGTTCAATACAGAAAAACTGTGAACAATTCGCTATGGATCTTTGGGGTCTTCGTTTTGTGCTATACGCCATCCAGGTCAATGCCTCTTGCATTATTTGTCGAAGGGCTCTCTGATTATACTCGTTTTGCATTACAATTAGGGTCTACAACAGTTTATTTTAACTCTATTCTAAATCCGATTCTATATTGCTGGAAGATCAAAGAACTAAAAGACAAAGTTATTACTCTCTTGCGAGCACTATGCAGCTTTCACTCAAATTAATTACAGCGGGCTGAAAAAGGTTGATACAGTTGGATACATTAAAATGAGCGTGATGTGTATCAAGTGATTGGTATCCTCAAGCTGATTCAAAGTTGCCAGAGACAGAAGAAAAAGTTACAATTCTTTCAGCCTATATCGTTATTCTACTGTCAATCATATCATATACAGTAGGGTGACAAATGTTAAGCCTTTACTCCTTTACATCAGTAAACGTATTCCCCATAATGTTCTCTATACTCTTTTTAAGGTACTTTTGTTAGTGATCATTTCTTATAATCTCGTGTCCTTCATGTTTGATTCAGGGGTGATAATGTAGAGAGAAATAAGATGCGGGTCACTATTGAGAGTTTAATGAACATATGCTACATAAAGTAGTCACGATTAACAAAAGCTGATTTGCTTAAAGTGCGCAGGAAGTAAAAGTTTTTTTGCCCTGTTTGTTTGCTTATGTCTTGATGAACACAGCTAAGCGATTTTGACCGACCAAAAGAACTTTCTTGTATTATTTTTGAACCTCAAAGTTTGGATTTTGCAATCTGAAATGGGTCCATTTTGCGCGCGGTCAAATCTCATCTTACAAAGGAAGTGACGTAGTTGGTGGTTCTGAAGAAGACAAACAAAAGCTTAAACAAAGTGCCAGAACCACCAACTACGTCATCAGAGCCAAACTCGTTCCCAGTTTCCGGAGACACCGATAACGTCTAATTTAGGGACTTCGAGCCACCAAAAAGCCGATTTAAATTTCTTTTCTTGAAATTTCTTTTGTCATTCCTTAATAAGGACATAATAAGCTTCAAAATTATGCAAAAAAATTTTTTACTTCATAGGCTTTTTAAACTGCTCCAATTAAATAAGAGATAATTAAAACTTGAGGCTGCGTAACCAACGGAAGTACAATTTTCAAGGAAAATGTTATTGCTGTTTACATAAGCAAAGAAATTCTTCAACGATACCGTTGTCCTTAAAGCTTTTTAGGGTAGAATCTCCCTTAAATCCTTACTTAACAAGGATCTA